CACACACACACACACACACATAAAAATCTAGAAAATGTATTCACATGCATATACCATTACTCTAGGGAAAAGATGTTCTGGATAGCAGATGGTAGTTTTCTTGCTACTGCATACTAATAAAAGAGCTTTCCGGACAACTTTGACTTGTCTGAGTCTGGGCAGCATGAGTCAGTTTTCCCAGGGCCTGATGTCATCCCTGGATGAGATGATGGCTACAGACAGAACCCAGAGGCCAGACTCTTACTATTATAACATAGCAAGATACTACAGCCTGGGGCTGGCGCTGTGACGTAGTGGGTAAGGCCGCTGCCTGCAGTGCTACCATCCCACATGGGCACCGGTTTGAGTCCCAGCTGCTCTACTTCGAGTCTAGTTCTCTGCTATGGCATGGGAAGGCAGTAGAGGATGGCCCAAGTCCTTGGGCCCCTGCACCCGCGTGGGAGACCTGGAAGAAGCTCCTGGCTCCTGGCTTCAGATCGGCGCAGCTCTGGCTGTTGCAGCCAACTGGGGAGTAAACCAGCAGATGGAAGACCTCTCTCTCTCTCTGCCTCTCCTCTCTATGTCTAACTCCGGCTTTCAAATAAATAAATAAATCTAAAATAAGATACTACAGCCAATGAAGTCAGGCGTAGGGAGTCTGCACATGCCATCCAGCATCTGTTCGTGCTGGAGGGTAACTTTGAAGTCATCTGAGTTTCATGGAATGAATGAGTAATACTGGGTCGGAGGAAGAGAGTGACCCAGGGAGCTTGTCTGAAGTCCAGCAGCGTGTTAGCAAGCGGGGCGTCTAGGACCCAGATCAACAGTGCAGAGCAATGAGGCCTCAGCTCTCGCCTGGGCCAAGAGCAAATATAACTTTATTTTGGGGTCCTGACAAAGAACTTCAGTTACTACAATCATGGAACAAAACCTCGCAAGACAGTATTTTTTAAAATTTGTATTTAGTTATTAATTTGAGAGGTAAAGAGAGCTCCCATCTGCTGGTTTATTCCTCAAATGGCTGCAGCATTCTGTAGGATGAGAACTTGCCCTTAGGAAGCAGAGCCTTTGTAGGTTTTGAAGCAAGGGAAAGGTTGTGATCAGATCTGGGCTGTAGGGAACCAGATCTGATGGGAAAGGAAGGAGTGGGAAGCACCAGAGCAAGTTGAGAAGGGATAAAAACAGTTCTGGCGAGAGACGATGAAGGCTTGAAGCAGGGTAAGGTGAAGAGAGAGGAAGAAAAACATAAAAGGCATGGCAGTGCTAACAATAGGCCTTGCAGGAAGGGGTGGGGGGAGGAGGGCTCTCACTTGGAAGTGACCAGGAAGAGGAGGAAAGAGGACTGGAACAGCTGAAGGAGAGGAATTGGGGGTGGAGGTGACCGGTTTAGTTTTAGCCTAGTTTAGTCCCAGGTGTTGGGAGAACACCTAACCAAGGGGCAGAACCCCTGGACCCAGGAGACCACAATGTGTGCATCCGAGGAGGAGATGGAGTCTGAGGATCCCGCTGATAATACAGAATGAAGCAAGGGTGGTTTAAATAGAGAGAAGTTGTTGAGAAGATGTCTGGGCAATGTGGAAGAAGGAAGGAGATAGCAGAATTCGCAGGAGGAAGCAGGGGAAAGAAAGCAAACCAGGAGACAAGGAGCAAGAACCACATGGCAGTAGGTAGGGCACTTGTGTTGTGGTGTAGTAGGTTAAACCGCAACCTGAAACACCTGGCGTCCAGTATCAGAGTGCCCATGCAGATCCTGGCTGCTCGGCTTCTGATCTGCCTTCCTACTAGTGCTCCTGGGAAAGCAGCACAGATAATGCCTCAAGTACTTGGGCCCCTGCCACCCACAGGGAAGCCCTGGATGGAGTTCTAGGTTCCTGATTTCAGCCTGGCCCAGCACTGGAGGTTATGACTATTTGGGGAGTGAACCAGCAAATGAAAGAGAGAGAGAGAGAGAGATCTTCCATCTGTTAGTTCACTCCCTAAATGACCTCAATGGCCAGGGCTGAGCCAGGCCAAAGCCAGGAACCAGGAGCTTCTTCCAGGTCTCCCACGTGGATGCAGGGGCCCAAGAATTTGGGCCATCTTTCACTGCTCTACTAGGTGCATTAGCAGGGAGCTGGATTGGAAGTGGAGCAGCTGGCTCTGGAACTGGTGCCCATAGGGGATGCCGGTGCTGCAGGCCATGGCTTAAACCCACTGAGCCACAGAGCCAGCCCCATATTTTTTGTTTTAAAAAAAGAGCCACACAGGGAGGAAGGAAAGAAGGTGAAAAGCAAGAGAGGAGACAAAGGAGGGGAGAGGAAGGCAGGTGTGGGAAGTTCCCTATTTAAGGATTCTTTCCCCACCTTTTCCTTAGAACTGCTTGCCTCAGATTTGTCTGTGCAAAAGGGGTTTATGGGAAAAAGGCTGCTCTGGTGGGGTGGTGGAAGCATGTCCCATGGCTCACTTGGTGGGCAACAGTATTCTTTGAAAAGACTGCTTCCACCTTAAGAAAGTAGGTGTTGAGGATATGTGGAAGGTGTGTAAGAGGCAAGCATGTTAACCTTCCTCCTGGAGTTTTCTTTATCATCTTCCTCCTCACCTTCCTTTTGGTTTCCAGGTCAAAAGGGCAGAATTTCCTGTCTGAATTTTAAAGCCTCCATAGCCTTGATTTTGTTCCTGGCTTAGTGGAGATGAATTCCAAGTCGAAGACAAACAGTTGAGCCTTTTGAGCAGTCAATGTGGGCTGAAAAGACTCCAAGTGCTTTTTTGAAAACCTGTGTCAGAGAAAGTTCCCAGTTGGGGAGGATACCGGGTCAGCTCCATCCTGGTAGGAGTAATTTCAATAGAAGGAGTAGTTTCTGAGTGTCGTTTTCTTAGTAAATCCATAAAAGTCGAAATGGCAAGCAAAGTTGATTGCAAAGGTAGAGAAACAGCATACCATGAAACAACAACAACAAAAAAGTCCCTAAGCAGCATTTAAAAACTATACATATGTTAGAAAAGTCACTCACAAACTGTCAGCCACTGACTTGCACCCATGGTTACCAGCTTCTACTCAATCATGAAAGCTGAAGCCTAAATGATGTACAGTAATATCCAGGGATATTGTGTGTCCAGTCTTGGCTCTCTGGCCCTTGTGAAAAACTAATATTTCTACTGTCCAGATTCCTTCTTTCTCTCTTTCTCTCTTTCTTTCTCTCTTTCTCTCTTTCTCTTTTCTCTCTCTCTCTCTCTCTCCCTCTCCCTCTCTCCTTTCTTATTTTGAGAGACAGAAAGAGCTCCCATCCTTTGGCTCACTCCCAAATGCCTTGCTGCAGCTGGTCCTGGCCAAAGCCAAGAGCCAGATACACAATCCAGGTCTCCCATGATGGTGGCCATCACCACTGCCTTGCAGGGTCTGCATGAGCAGGAAGCTGGAGTCAGGAGCTAGAGCTCAGAATCAAACTCAGGTACTCTGAGTGGGACTTGGGCATCTTAACCCCTAGGCTGAAGACCTGCTCCCCTGATTCTTAAACTACTACAGAAAAGCAGAGGTCCTGAATATAGGAAAGAAGGGAGGAAAAACCTCTTGAAATGCATTCTCAGGATAGAATTTCCCTCTCATTATAAAAGGACTGACACTGAACAGCAAACAATCAAACACAGTCAGTCATGTTCAGACCAGCCCTCGTGTGCCTTTTGCTAGCTCTGCAGAAATACTTTCTGGAAACTGTAATGCTCTCCTCTCCTTTGTTCCTGCCCCAAACAGAAATAAATACCGTATTCATCATCAACATCAAGTATGTATCAGGTGTTTACTGTATGCTACTCAGTTTTGCTAGCCATTGGTGTGCAATTATTTCCAAAAGCCAAAGTGATATGAAATTAATTTTGTTTCAAATATTTGAAGCTGTCTAGAAATATTATACATTCAAACTCAGATATCATTGTCACAGGGAGCTATTGCTTCTGAATACGGTAAATACTTTTTAAAGTCAAGTCTTGGCTGCTGCATTTCTGACCCAGCTTCTTGGCTCCATTATCTGCAGATATTGGCCCAAGTACTTGGGTTCTTGTCACCCATGTGGGAGACCTGGATACAGTTCCTGCTTCCTGGGTTTGTCCTGGCCCAGTCTTGGCTATTGAGTGCTTTTGGAGAGTGAAATGCAGGGGGAAGATCTCCCTATCTCACTCTTTCAAATCAACACTAAAATATAAATAAATAAAGTAGGACACAGAGACGTTAGATGCTTGCCTCAAGTCATACAGCTAGCTAATGGTGAAGCTGGGATTTGAATCCAGCTGTCTGGGTCCAGAGCCAGCTCATGGAGGACAAGCGTTCATATTCCAGCAAAGCAAGCAAATGCTGGCACAGATTCCTTGGCCTCTGAGGGGTGCGTGCCCCATGTACTGGGGAAATCAATGGAACTGCACAAATGAGCATGAGATTTAGAGTATCTAGAAAGACATGAACTCAAAACCCCAACAAACCATTTGAAGTTTGTAAAACTCCGTTATCTCATCTCTAAGTTGGGGATCACACCTCTGATGCGAAGTGGATGAAGGATGTTCAAAAAGTTCGTGAGAAATGCATGTAAGAAAGCACTGTGCATGCATTTCAAAATATTTGTTACCAAGATAAAATTTAAAAGACAATCTTGTTTTATTAGGGGGGGGGAGGGGGGAGAGGGAGAGGGAGAGGGAGAGAGAAAGAGAGATGGAATGCGCATACTTGCATCCACTGGTTCATTCCCCAAGTGCCTGCAGTAGCAGACAAGGGCAGGGGGTGGAGCCAGGAGCCAGAACACAGTCCAAGTCTCCCACGTGGGTGGTGGGAACCGAGTTACATGAGCTGTCACTGCCACCTCTCAGAGTATGCATTGGTAGGAAGCTGGAGTCACGCATCGGAGCTGTGAATCAAACCCAAGTACTTCTACGTGAGAGGAGGGTGTTTTAATCACAAGGTTAAGTAATTGCCCCGGGCTTATCTTTTGATTCCATTTTCCATGAATCTTTCTGGAGTCCCTCATCCATGAGCTGACGTTTGTGAATTTTCTTTGCAG